GAAGAGCTTGTGCAAATAAAAAATAAAATAGATATAAAATTTAATAAATAGGCTGTATATAAATTTAAGTACATATTATAGAAGAAAAAAGACTGAGAGAGACAAAATAGGAGGGAAAAATTTTTTTAATAAGGAATTATTTTTGTCTAGCAAATAGAATGTGAACAAAATAAAAGAAAATAATGCAAAATAAATGAATTAAATTTAAAAATAAAATAAGGAATGAATCTACAAGGTCCAACATTCATCTAGAAAGAGTTGTGAAAATGGAGAATGGGTAAATGGAGAAATGAGATAGCCAAAGGTGACTCCCCAATAAACCATGTTTCTCCATATGTGTTCCTTTGTCTATTTTCTTTTCCTTGACATCTAGCTGACCTTCTGATTTGCTTTATGATCAATAAAATATGACAGAAGTGATATGTAGGTTTTCAGGCTAGGTCATTAGAAACTTTGAGATGTGTTCCTGGGTCTTTCAGAACATATATTCTGGGGAAGCCAGTCACAATATAGGAAGATGTACTATCCTGAGACCACTAAGCTGTAAAGAAGTTCAAGCTGAACATATGGAAAACCATACCAGGAAAAGTGCTAGACATGTGATCAAAGAAGTCATCTTAAATGTCTGATTAGTTGGACCTTTAGTTGATTCTAGTCCTAGCTACTATGTGCGTGTATCCATATGAGAAACCTCAAGTGAAAATTTCCCAACTGAGGTCAGTTATGTTTGGACCAGTGGGTTAAAAGTCCCATTACATGAAAATTGGCACTACTAACCATCTGCAAGTACAATCTTCTTCCAAGATTCTGCCATACTGTCTTTTGGATACCTTGCTATTGTTCTATAGAATTAAAGAAGTTGCAGTTATATAGTTATATGATTAAAATATATTGATTTATTCTGTTGGACTCTAAATTCTATGAGGGGAAGGAAGATTCCTGCTTTCTTCACTGATGTAATCTTACTACCTAATTGTTATGTATAGACTAAATGAATTAAAGAATCTAAGTTGTGACACTACTGAGTAACTTGCCTTTTCTCATTGGATTTCTAAGATTATTTTTACAAAATAACAAAACAAAAAATCCAAAATCTTACAGGATAAAATGACATGTGGGTTTTCCTATTTGTGAGGAAACATAACATAGTAAAAATCCTGGAAATTATGGACTTACTTTTAGACAGTCCTTTTGGGTTGGTTTTGATTACTGCAGTATTGTAGTAAATTTTAAGACAAGGTATGAAATGGTATAGGACTTGCCAGCCAGGACAATTAGGGTAGAAAAAGGAACAAAGGCATCCAAATTGGAAAGGAAGAAGTAAAACAATTTCTACTCATGGATGATGTGATCTTATAAATATAAAGCCCTGGAAAATACACAAAATGCCTATTATAGCTAACAAATGAATTCAGCAAAATTACAAGGATACAAGTTCAATATGTAATAATTAGTTCTAGGGGGGTGCCTGTGGCTCAGAGGAGTAGCGTGCCAGCCCCATATACCAGAGGTGGTGGGTTCAAACCCAGCCCCAGCCAAAAAAAAAAAAAAAAACCCTGCTAAAAAAGAAAAAATTATTAGTTCTAATTCTATATCCTAACAATGAATGACCCAAAGTAAGAATAAATAAAAAAAGAATGCTATCTACATAATCAAGAATATAATACTTATGAATAAATTTAACTTAGGAGTAGTGGGATACTTGTGGACAAAAAACTATAACATATTGCAGAAAAAATTAAAGAGAACCTAAATAAATGGAAGTGCAGTCCATGTTCATAGATTGGAAGATTTAGTATTGCTAATAAGTGATAGTCCTTAAATTGATCTGCATATTCACTGAAATCAGTAAAGCCTTAAATTGCCCTCTAGCTTTTTTAAAGAAACAGACAAGCCGATTCTAAAATTCACATGAAATTTCAAAGGACCCTGAATATGCAAGGACAAAGTTGGAGAGCTGACACTTCCTGGTGTCAAAACTTACTACATGATAATCAAAAGTGTGGTATTGACATAAAGATAGACATATATCAATGGTATATAAATAAGAAACAAACACATATATTAGTCCAGAAACAAACTCATATATTAGTGGTTCATTGATTTTGACATGGGTGTTAAGACCGTTCAGTGGGGGAAAGAATAGTCTTTTCTTTCTTTTCTTTTTTTTTTTTTTTTTGTGGGATTTAGGCTGTTCATTTTTATTTTTTAATTATTTTTTATTAAATTATAGCTGTGTACATTAATGCAATCTTTTCAATAAATAGTGTCTGGACAAATGGATAGTCACATGTAGTTGAAGGTTGATCCTTACTTCACATCACATACAAAAATTAACACAAAACTTACCAAAGACATAAATGTATAATACAAAAGTATAAAACTCTTAGAAAGAAACACAGGTGTACATCTTAGTGACCTGGGGTTTGGTAAGATTCTTAGATATGCCACCAAAAATATATGCTATAAAAGAAAACAATAGATTAACTGATCTTCATCAAAATTAAAAACTTTTGTGAATCAAAATATACTATCAAGTAAGTGAAAAGAAAACCACAAAATGAGGAAAAATTTCTGGAAATCATATATCTGATAAAGACCTTGTATGTAAGATATATCCATCTTTACAACTCAATGCTAAAAAGACAACCCACTTTAGAATAAGCAAAATATTTGAATAGACATTGCTCCAACAAAGTTATGCAAATGGATAATAAGCACACAAGAAGATACTCAACATCATTAGATAAATGCAAATCAAATTCACAATATTTTTTCACACCCAAATCATTTTACTATGATGGCTATAATAAAATGCAGATGATAACAAGTGTTGGCAAAGGTGAAGAGAAATTGGAACTCTCATATATTGTTGGTGGGAATATATAATTCTGAAGCAACTTTATAGGAATCTAGAAGTTCCTCACAAAGGTAAACACAGGATTATTAGAAAATCCAGTGGTTTCACTCCTAGATATATATACATAATACATGTACACAAAAACTTGTATATGAATACTCATAGCAGCATTATTTATATTGGGAAAAACATGAAAGTAACCTCAATTTCCATCAATAAACAAATTGTGGTATGTTGATGTAATGGAATATTATTCAGCGATAAAAAGGAATGAAGTACAAGAAGCTTCAATGCTAACAGGTTCTCAGAAACTGTTATTTTAAGCAAAACAACATATAAGGCAACCAATTTCACCATAGGCTGATTGATAATAACAAGAATTAAGCTCCTAGAGCAGATTTCTGGTCACAAAACATCATCAAACTTCTACATAAATACCAAAACATTTCTAATATTAAACACTGAAATAAATGTCATTTATGCAGATATTTAAGAAAGATTATTAAAAAAAATTATTTCTCCATTTATTCTAGTTCAGGGTTGTGGCTGCCTGGAGTCTATTCTCCTGTGCAGCTCAGGGCACAAGGTAGGAACCAACTCTATTCAGTCACAAGGAGCACTCATACACACAGCCATATCTACTCACAGTGGGACCATTTAGATGTGCCAATTCACCTAACACACACACATCTTTGGAATGTGGGAGGAAACTGGAGTATACAAATAACTTTTTTTCTTATCAACTCTATAGTGAAATGATTTTGATTGAAATGACATAATTCGAGGACCTGCTCTAATAATACATGTTACAACATGGATGAACCTGAAAATATGCTAAGTTAAAGAAGGGAGATGCAGGCTCGGCGCCTATAGCTCAACCGGCTAAGGCGCCAGCCACGTACACCTAAGGTGGCGGGTTCGAATCCCCAGCCCGGACCCGCCA